GTTGTAACTGTTCACATTTTCTTTATTACTTGGTGATGTCTGCGAGGTTGTTATGTTTCTCTGAATGTACCCATATTTTCTAGGATATGTAATTTCTTGGCACATAATTGTTCATAGTACTTTCTTATAGACCATTTGCAACATTTCTGTGACACCTGTTGCAGTGTCCCCCTTTCATTTCTGATTTACTTGAGGGCTCGTCATTTTCTCTCTCTCTCTCTCTCTCTCTCTCTCTCTGTCTCTCTCTCAGCCTAGCTAAATGTTTGTCAATTTCTAAATCTTTCAGAAAACTTGTTCTCGGTCTCTTGATTTTTAGGTAGTTTTCCTATTCTGTTTCATTTCTCCCTGCTTTAATCTTATTCCTTCTACTAAATTTTGGTGCAGTTTGTTACTTTTCTGATTTCTTGAGGTATAAAATCCTATTTCTGATTGGAGACCACTCCTTTTCTGTAATGTAAGATTTACCACTGCAGGCATCCTCCTCAGTGCTGCCGCCACTACGTCCCCCGAGTTCGCTGTGTTGTATTTCTATTTTTATCGTGATAGTTTTAAAAATCTATGTGATTTCTTCTTTGACAGAAAATCTAAACTTTCAAGTAATTTTAAGTATATACGGTAGTGTGCCAGCTATATTGTAGATCTCCAGAACTTATTTCTCTTGCATAACTAAAAGTTTGTACTTTTTGATTTTTGAATGGCATCTCCCCATTTCCTGCTTCCCCCTCCCCTGGCCAACAGTGTTGTACCCTCTGATTCTCTAATTTAGACTATTTTAGATTCCACATACAAGTGTGATTATACAGTATTTCTCTTTCGGTATCTGGCTTGTTTTCATTAGCATAGTTTTCTGTAAGGCTATACATACTGTCAAATAATGACAGGATTTAACTCTTTGTAAAGGTGAATAGGATTATATTGTACATATATATAGCATTCTCTTTATCCATTCTTGTGTCACTATTCATTTAAGTTTCCACACATGGTCTATTGTGAACAGTCTTTCGGGGAAAATTCATGAAGTATTGGTATGTCTTTGAGATCCTGATTTGATTTTCCATGGATGTAAACCCAGTACTGGGATTGATGGATCACATGGTAGTTCTGTTTTTTAATTTTTTGAGAACCCTCCGTTATGTTTTCCATAGTGATCGTACCCATTTCCATTCCCACCAACACTGTGACGATGTTCCCTTTTGTTCCACATCCTTGCCAGTTTTCGTTATCATTTGTGTTTTAATAATAGCCATTTTAACAAGTGTGAAATGATATGTCATCGTAGGTTTGCTTTGCTTTTCCCTGATGATTAGTGATGTTGCGTAACTTTTCACATACGCGTTGACCATTTGTACGTCTTCTTTGAGAAATGTCTGTTTAGGTCTTTTGCTGATTACTTGTTATTGAGGTGTCTCTGCTATACAGTGTTATGTTGGCTTCAAATGTACAGTACAGGGGTGCAGCAGTTACCCATATTATTATGATTGTTATCTGCCAATGTAGAAAGATGTTCCAGAAACACTGACTGTATTCTCCATGCTGTGCTGCTGTCCCACGACCAGCTTACACTGTGACTGTGAATTACTGGGCCTCTGCATCCCTCTCGCCCTTCCCCCCACCATCCCCAATTCCTCTCCCTTGGTAACCACGAGTCACTTCTCAGTATGTTTGAGTCTAATGCTCTTTTGTTCCTTCTGTTTTGCTTTCTTTTATATTCCATAAATGACTGAAATCATACGGTGTTTGTCTTCCTCCTCCTGGCTTATTTCACTGAGTATAAGTCCCTCTAGCTCCATCCATGGTGTTGCAAATGGCAGGATTTCTTTTCTTTTCATGGCCGAATAACATTCCACTGTGTTTATGTCCCACATTTTCTTTCTGTACTCAGCTACTGATGGACACTTAGGTTGCTTCCATATCTTGTCTATTGCAAATAGTGCAGCGATAAACATAGGGGTGCGTACATCTTTTTTTAAACTTTATTTTGGTATCATTAATCTACAGTTACATGAAGAACATGTTTACTAGGCTCCCCCGTTCACCAAGTCCCCCGCACAAACCCCATTACAGTCACTGTCTGTGAGCGTAGTAAGATGCTGCAGAATCACCAACTTGTCTTCTCTGTGTTGCACAGCCCTCCCCATGCCGCCCCCCACACACATTAAACATGCTAATTGTAATGCCCCCTTTCTTTTTCCGCACCCTTATCCCTCCCTTCCCACCCATGCTCCCCTGTCCCTTTCCCTTTGGTCACTGTTAGTCCATTCTAGGGTTCTGTGATTCTGAGGCTGTTTTGTTCCTTCAGTTTTTCTTTGTTCTTATACTCCACATATGAGTGAAATTATTTGGTACTTGTCTTTCTCTGCCTGGCTTATTTCACTGAACTCAAGACTTTCTAGCTCCATCCATGTTGTTGCAAATGGTAGGATCTGTCTTCGTCTTATGGCTGAATAATACTCCATTGTGTATATGTACCACATCTTCTTTTTCCATTCATCTACTGATGGACACTTAGGTTGCTTCTGTTTCTTGGCTATTGTAAATAGTGCTGCTATTAACATGGGAGCGTATCTGTCTTTTTCAAACTGGGCTACTGTGCTGTTGTTATTTTGATAGGAATTGCATTGATTGCTTTAGGCAGGATGGCCATTTTGACAGTATTAATTCTTCCTGTCCATGAGCATGGGATGTGTTTCCATTTATTGGTATCTTCTTTAATTTCCTTTAAGAGTGTCATGTAGTTTTCAGGGTATAGGTCTTTCACTTCCTTGGTTATGTTATTCCTAGGTATTTTATTATTTTTGATGCAACTGAATGGAATTGCTTTCCTGGTTTCTTTCTCTGCTAGTTCTTTGTTAGTGTATAGGAATGCCACAGATTTCTGTGTATTAATTTTGTATCCTGCAACTTTGCTGAATTCAGATATTAGATCTAGTAGTTTGGGAGTGGATTCGTTAGGGGTTTTATGTACAATATCATGTCATCCTGCCCTTTCTTATTTTAAATTCTGTGAGGACAGTGGCTCAGTGCTGCTGAACACACAGCAGAAACTGAAAGAAAAAAAACAACTATATTGTGAATACTGCAGGTAGAGTGGCGTCTGGATACTCTGTTGTCTGGGCTCACAAGGACAGAGGGCTGAAAGTGGGGAAGCAGGAATGCCTCCGTGCAGTGATGGTTCCCAGCCACGAACTGGGATCATTGAACTTCACCGTATGAACTGCAAGAATGGAAGGGAGGATGTAGAAAGAGAGAAAGGTGCTCCCCAAGGCAGGATTCTTTGGGAAGCTCTGTTCTCAGAAGAGGATCTGGATGAGTGGTAGGTCCTCTGAATATGTGGGAGTTGATGGTTCCATCTTTACAGGATGGACACCATGTCTATCCACTTGGTCATGAGTCCAAAGTACAAAGAGCAGGAGAGATTATAAAAGCTGTCAGTAGGGGGTGTTATTTTGCCAAGCATGCTGGAGCAGTATCTCAGATCCTTTGTGATGTTTGTCTGGCTTCATTCACTGGACACATATATAAAGACAACTGTATTTATAAGCAAGTACAAAACCCATGGCAGGTAAATAGAGAAGCCAGTGTAGGCTGGGAGCTTTAACTTTAAGCTCTGTCCATGTGGAGTTTCTGGAACTTGTTGTGATGGCCTGGATGAGGCTCAGGAGATGTATGGTGCTGAGGGCACAACCCTGGCCACTCTGTGAACACAGAGAAGTTGGCCTCCAAAGTCACTGAGGAGATGCCTCCTTGTGTGGGAGAGACCTTTAGAAAGGAGTGCCGAGATAGTGGCAAAGGTCAGGAGCCAAATTTGAGGACTTTAACCTGCATCCTCTGAAGTAAATGATGACACCTTTATTGCTAAATCCCTGGGGGCCGTTCTGCCCAGATACTGATAGTCAGAGTCAGAATGTCATGGCACTGCAGGGAAATTGGAGATTTGTGTTACTGTTAACATGACCATTGATATTCACGATTTTTCATTCACAAACTCATTAGATATATTTTCTCTTAACAAGTGGTTTCATAAGTTTATATATTATGCTTTATATATGATGAAAGTAGACTCGTTATTGTTTTGTATGTCACAACTGATTGTATCTTCAACTCTCTAAGTATTGTTGTTGTTATTTTACAGATGAGGAGACCCTAGGCACAGCATGTAAAACCGTTCCAACTCACATCTCCCTGTGTTGCAGCATTAGAAGCCGAACCTGTGTTTTCTGGCTATGAAGACAAGCCTCTTAATCACGCTGCTACATACAGAAAGGTAGTTTTCCTCTTCAAGTTCTCAACATCTCTACTTACTTCTGCTCACGTCTTTCTCCGTTTTTAAGTAGTTTTATCTTCATGAAAAATTGTGATTGTGGCAAATTTGTAATTATGTCTATAAGTTTATTTTATAGGCCAATATTACTTATGAATAAATATTTAAAGATGCAGATAAGATGATACTGCATTAACTGTCATGAAACCCTTTAGAAAGATTATCCAAGGCCAAGTGTTAGGTTTATATGGGCAGGACTGGCTTGATATTCTGATGGGGACAAAAGATGCAGTTGTCCTTATCCAAGGAGCATGTTTGTAATTGCAGCAACAACCAAAATCTGTACATTGTAAAATAATGGGCTGATCTTTGGATTTTGAAACACGTATAAGAGATGAAACACTAAAATAGAGGCTAAATTATTATTGATTACTTACCATTGATTAATAATGAATGACACTCTAGAAACAATGTAACAATTATTGAAATAGACTGTATTCAAGAAAAACATTCAAAATAATATGCAGAAGGGATGGACATGAATGTATTGAATAAGTTTAAATGGTCGAATCGCTGTGAGATTACAGTTGACATTAAAATTTTTATTTTTAACAGAAAAATATCACTGGACACATTTGAAGCTGCAAACTGCCAGGTCCCAGATTTTTTTGGTCTGAAACCCTCAGTCATATAAACTTCTCCCCAGATAGTCATGGCCTGATTTCAGGAGGGATGATAGTTCCACCAAAATCCATAGACCAGAGTTTTTCCCCTCATTGCAGATGCAGTAACCACATCTATTAATCACATATATGCCCAGTTTAAGGGGAGAAAAAGATGTTTATACTGTAGCCATTGCCTCTCAAACATCATTTCTCTATAGAAATATCTAGATATATATTATTAATTAATTTAGTATCAATAATCTATTAGAATTGTCTGTTGACATACATGATTTATAAAAATAAATATAAATTTTTTATGAGTTATATTTGTTAATCATCACATGAAAAGAAGTTTTATATCAATACCTCTACTATCCTGAAAAATAATGTTTGTGATTCTTGTAGGGTGGGTGAATCGCACAGCTACAATCACAGAGTGACTTATGTTTTAGATGATATTAGAAACACAGGCTCAAACACCAGTCATCCCCATCAGGGTGATTCCATGAAGTTACACTGAGGCATCAGGGACTGGTTAGAGTTAAGAATCTCCAGTCTCTCTCCACCAGTTCAGCACATGCCCCAGGAGTTATTCCTACGTTGCAAAGGAAGTTAGCACTGGGCCGGTTCTACCAAGAGGAATCCTTTTTCTGCAGTGAACACCTCACCTCATCCCTACAAACTCCAGTCTTTATTGAGGGCTTCTCAGAACAAAAGTACAAAATACAAAATACTCGCTAGACGCCTGCTTGGATGGTGGGCTCCATGAAAGGGTCCCCACAGCCAGTATGTGTGTAAGAGGGAGACAGCCAGCCCCTGAAGGCTTGTCATTCTGTGACCTCACCTATCCATACCCACAATTACCATTTTACCTGTAGTGGAGATGACAGTGTGCTAGGGGACCTGAAAATACTTGAAAGCAACGTGTCCCAGTTCTCAACACCAGAAACAGTCACAAGTATCTAGTGAGCACCTTCCAAAATACAGCTGGAATGTTTGGGAGAGGCTCTCTCGTGTCCGTGCACCGGAGCTTGTACAGGGGCTTCCAGGGAGAGAACCAGAAATGCTGAGTTCAGGGCCATGAGGGACTTGCAGCAAGGCACGTGTTTCCCTGGATCCTCTGATGCCTTGAGACATTCTACAAAGGATTCTAACTCCTTCCTAGGTCTCGGACCCCTCTCAAGTCTTGTGGGGATGTGAGAGGATGACACGAAGAGACTGAGAAGGGTTTATTAATGGAGTAAGAGTTAAAGGAGGAACATGACGCCGAGAACGGATGCGTGAGAACATCTGATGGCTTTCTATGATGTGAATGGTTGAATAAGTAAATAAATGGGAGAAGAGACGATATCCCATACAGAAGAATGCTGAATGATTTACACTCACTCAGAGAGGTGGACGATGTTTCTCCACCCCGTAAGTCTTGGCTGCATATAGACATTTCCTTTTAAAGAGTAGAGTATGCAAGGGGAGAAAAGATGAGGTTTCTAAGAGAGGAACTTCACACATTCAACCTTGGCCAGATGATTAAGGTCAAAACTGGGGTCATGTTGGTAGTATGCAACCTTGAGACCATGTGATGAAACAAGGCTTTTCTCTGCGGTGTTCTTCCCCAGGAGACCTAACCCCAGTGTGACAATGAGGAAACCTCAGTGAGCTTTTAGGAGAGTGGGACTCGCCAGTAACCGCACTGACTGCTGCTCTGTCTGACCGCTGTGCCTCAAACTGTCAAGAACATGAATGTATCCCTCACATCAAACTCTAGTCTCTCAGGTAAAACAGAAACTTGGTAAAAATAAAAAGCTAAATGATACAAACACAAAAGAAAACTTTGGTGATTTCTTTTATACCCTGAGAGAGGATAAACTGGCCTCAGCATGGCACAATTAAGAAATATTAATAAACATAAGGATCAATAAACCACAGATGAAAAATGTGCCATGTTATGCTTGGTGAGAAACACGAAAAGCAAAATCCTGAATTCCAGACGGAGAAAACTCATTAGATCTTATATAAGAAAGGGAAACACTAATCTGTTCTAGAAGTCAAAGCATGTGAGGAGGTCATGGGACACACTAGCCAAGGAGAAGGGGCTCCTGCTGGCCTGCAGGGAGACAAAATTTGAGCTCAAAAAGAAAAAAAATGTCAGCAATGGGTTGAGTTATACGAAACATACAAAATCCATGCATTCATAATGCTCCTAAAATTCTCTCATATGATCTTGGAGAGCCTTTCGGCAAAAGGAAAGCTAAAATTCAAAATACACAATTTTTCAATTCCCAGTGAAGGAATGGAGTTAGGAAACATTAATGAATGACAAAACCATTAGGTCAGTCGTTGATGGATGGAGCATCCTGTGAAAATAAAGTGAAACCTTACTAAATGGAGTCAGGAGGCTAGAAGGGGGAGTCACACCACCCCACTTCCATTACAAGAGGCATTGTCAGTTACAGGCCCCAACAGGAAGGAATCATCCATTACAGGCCCCAACACGGAAAGACGCACACAGCATCTCCTACAAAAAAATCAACTGCCTGGCAATTCAGCCAACGAGACATGGTCATCACTAAACTGCTGCTCTCCAAAGGACTTCCCTTCAGAACAACCCCTCCCAACACCTTTCTTCTCCATAAAATATTTGACAGTGGTATTTCAATTGTTCTAGCTGTGCTAGAAAAATGTATTTGCTATTTTTATGTCACAGGGACTAAATAACTATTTGTGAAATTAGTTCCCAGTTTTAAAACAACTTTGAATCTTTAATAATTTGCATCTGTTTTATAATGATATCAAAGAGAACCATATTTCAAAACCTTTCTGTGATTGGGGAGATACCCTTTTTTTTCCTTCTGAGTATGTCCATTTTGCTCCCTCGAAAATTTTACAAGCCACAGAACTGCCCATAAACAAGATGGATTCATGATTTTTTCACCTATAATCAGCTTCTCTGCTGTGTTCTGTGTGTCATGAAAAGTCCCACCATCAACTCCTCGCCATGAGGCAGCGCAGGGACACTGGACAAGCAACATGATTAATTTTCCCTGCCTATGTTGCAAATGCCGACATATAAGCAGTATAGTAAGAACAGAAGGGACTCCATCTGAAGGCTGCGGTTCTATTTCAGAAACCATGGACTTAGGAGGTGCAAGAGTCCTCATCCGTTCTTTGGCAGTCAGCCAACAATCTGTCCTAAGGCAGAGCAAACAGTCCTAAAATGATGATCCCAAGGCTTGAGGGTGATCATTATCTTGCAAAAGAACAGGATCAATAAATTCCTGGTGTTAAACGTTTATAATGCAGAATATATAGAGGACTGACTGTGGAGGGTGGCATAACGTCCATGCTGGAGACAGACATCATGAGACCACATGTCCAGCCCGCATTTCCCCCCATCCCCCACCACCCTTTGCTGCATTCCTGAAAACCTAGAAAGTCAGAGTCCGGATGCCCACACTACACTCCCCTTTCTTTGAGTGTGTTTTTAATAGCCTTACACATAGACTTCCCACTGCTCAACTTGCTGTATTTGTCACCATTTGTTACTTTGCGATTTTATTGTGTTTTCCAGACTTAAGCACCAGTCTTCCCTCTGTCTCTCCTACCCCAGACAAGTAGGGAGGTGCTCTTGAGCTCTCTTATTTGGACTCGGAATTCCTGCTGCTTGGGGTCCCCAGAAAAGACTGCTGCTGTTATGATCATGTTCTTTAGTAGCCTGCTCCCAAGTCTTCCTTGGCCCTTGGGAAACTCACAGCAGAATTTCACTCCATCAAGTGCTCTGCGGCTCCCCCAAATCCTGGGGTAGTAGGACTCAGTACCCACATCCTGCAGACCCAGGCGGACATTGGGCGCCAAGTGAACCTGGCTTCAGGAGCTGGCAAGGGATGTGCCCTTTGCTGAGCTAGAGTTCAGTGAACTTCCCTTTCCTGCCTATTCTCTTCCTTGCTCTCTGCTGCCTGCAAAGTGGCTGCCATTTGCTGCTACTCTCACTTTGACGGATTCCCTCCTTACCTGCTCTCCTCTGACCTGCTCCGGAGTTCTTCCTCCATCAGAAGCAACAGCTCTCTCCTTTGCAGGTTCAAGTTTCACCCGGTGCTCAGGGAGAAGTCTCCCCAGACTCAGCTGCCCGGCAAAACCCTCCTGGAGTCATGGAAGTCTGCGATGGAACTTGTTTCTTGCCAACAGAGCTAGTGAGCAATACCGCATGATACAGGATAATTTACCTTATAAACATCCCAAATCTATTGCAAACACCAAATCCTTTAAAAATGTGATGTTACGCCTTTTTGTATTCATCTGTGTCCTATGCCAGGGCATTGTGCTCAGTTTAATTTGAAAATGTGTTAAATGTGCCATTTTCCCCATCTGAACATTTCAAGCGATCACAGTGGATGTCGCGGTGAGTAGAAATGAGGCCATTGAAAATTTGACCATCCAGTTTTGCTTCTTTTGGATTGTTAGGAAAGAGCATAAAACCTCGAGACTACCTGTATTTCCTCGAAAGCACCATGACGCTTGTGTGTGTGTGTGTGTGCGCGGAGAGCCTTCCGTCTCGAGTGCGTCCCTTCTCTTTGCTTCCTGGGTGAATTTCCAGCCAGCTCTTAGGTGGGACTGCAGCCTCCCCTTCTCGGGTTTCATGGCGCTCCTTCATGTGGATGGAGTCAGTCACCCCCCTTCCCTGAGCTCCATGACATACAGGATTTATTAGACTAAGTGTTGATTGTGTGTTCATATGCTTGTTTTTGTCACTATTTTTTTATTTTCTTAAAGTTGTCATTATTTCCCTTTGCATCCCTTTCCTAAGCCCATTGTAGGTGCATAGTTAATACTTGTTCAAGACATCAGTGAATAAACAATGATAAAAGAAATGAACCCATTTGATGCTAGACATTACAGGAAGGAGCTGGTAATACCCTGTACCCAGGGGGAGACAAAACAATTTGTATTTTATTTTCCCAGGTTCAGCTGTCCAGACAAGGACATGTTACCCTGAATGCAGCGGAAGTAAAAGCATTGTCACTAACTAGCTTCACGTTCGCCTAACATTTACTGAGCCCATGCCATGTGCCAGGACCCGTGAAGGACACTTGCACGTTCATGTTCTAGTTTAGACTCCCAGCAACCTCGTAAAAGACGTCTTGTTTTCTCCATTTTACCAATGAGGAAACTGGGACTTAGAAGGACGAAGTGTTAAGGCCAAATGAGCAGTACACCAGGGGTCCAAACCCGGTGTTGTAGAGCTGGTGGGATCCATTTCCTTGCCTGGGTCCTTAATGTTTTTTCTGTCCCCTTTTTTCTTGGCCCCAGGCTCTGCTTAGGCTTTTTGTTTTGGAGCTTTGGGTGGCCCTGTGAAGTTCCTCTGGAGTCTGGTTTGCGGACTCTTTGTGGAGGGGGCAGCATGTGCCAGTGGTCAGGGCAGTGGTGAAGGTCACGGTGGTGGCGGCGGCGTTGAGAAGGAACAAGGCCGACACCGGACGACTTGCTCTCAGGCTCCAGGAAGAGGATTCCGGGTGGTCCAGCCCAGGTGGCCAGGGAAGCAAACAAGACAGTGATTAAAAGACAGGCACACTGGCCAGAGTGAAACCACCGCTGGCAGGAGGTCCCTGTGCTGGACCTTTCTGGTAACTGAGGGAGGGGCAGTCGGGGGCGTCCTGGCATTTCCCTGCTCTGGGACTGGCGAGGTCTTTGAAAGGCTTGGCGGTAGGGTGGGGCTTGCCAGACAGGTAATAACGAGTGCGGCTGACCGGGCCTCTCAACTCCAGGTGGCAGCCACTAATTTCCCACCAGTTGTCACCAGGAGAATTTTGGCCATATTACCAGGTTTTATAATTTTTTGAGAGAAGCCAGATTTTATGTTAAAGTTCCAAATGTTAATGTTGAATTTAAAATTAAAAAGAGGACACTCCCTCCCTCACTCTGGCCGGACAAAATAATCACCAAGAATGTCGCTCTGCTTGGTATTTGGGGCCGAATGATTCCTTCTCCGGGACTCACCTGCACATCAGATTTCCTACCCCCCTCCCATCCAATACCGATTTTTTGTCGTTCTGCCAAAGAAAAGTGCCCTCAAATATGCAAATAACTCCTAGGGGAACAATATTCCTACCCCCAGCCATGGTTTCTCCAGACTCATTATACAGGATATTCACGTATCTGTCTGTGTTTCCTTTGCCGGGAATAATCTTGGGCCAAATGGGACACTTCAGACTCTTGGTAGAATCCTGTACCTCAGCCATCCTTCCTCTTACTCTGATTTCAGTGGGTTTTTTTTTTTTTTTTGAGTAAATGCACCTGGCTCTTGGTTATAGGCGAATCAGGAGGTGGTTAGCTGGCAGGATTACCTGGAGACTTTTGTGAATCTCACACCTTTCTTTGGCCCTAGCAGCCCCGACTCACAGCAGATACTCAGTCCTGAGGCTCCTCCCAGGAGGCATCGTGCGCTAAGCTGGCAGCATTCCATCACGGAAGTCGGTTGTCATCGGCCGTGCCTAGCTAGAGCTGAGGTTGGGTGATGCGTGCTCTTCAAGGGGAAGTTTCATTTTCTGGAAAATAGTTTAGTCATGTCTAAAAGTGTGTGTCCATCTGTGTAAAGATGATCAGAAATGTGCACAATTATATTATTTCTATAGCTAATTCCAACAGCTGAAAGTAGTAAGAAGTGTTCCATAGTAGGAGAATGATTAAATAAATTTAGATTTAGCCACAGGATATAATAATAAAGAGCCCTTTAAAACAATATTTATGAAGAATCTTTAATGACATGGGAATATGACATTAATCCAAAGAGAAAGAATATAAAATTATGTATATGCATGTAGTTATATGTATACCTATTTTTATAGGT